TTATGGACATACAGGTTATTTCATAGGCCATCTTTGGGACGTGGTAAGTAATTCTTTACTCTTGAACATCCTTTACATAAACTCTTAATTTATTAGGTCTTTAAGCTCATTTTAAGAAGTAAATCATTCTAAAAATAAACCTTAGGCAGACACATGAATATATTAACCTTTTATATCTTAAATGCATTAGAAAAAAATGCAATGCAAAATGCAATAAACCCCCCCTCTTTATAACCTATCACCTCACCAATAAACTTGGCTTTCTAATGTGGAGTAATGAAAGATTTAGAGCTAATTTAGCACCTAATATCTTCATTACCCCTATTGGTATCATCACATGGAAACAAACACATTAGTTAGCATAATAATAAAAATTAAGGAAATTAAGAAAGGAATAAAGATAATACCTTGAGCTAGATGTAGCAATTTTTTGGATAACCCTTCTTACTTATCAAGGATGAAAAGATGATAAATCCTTAATTAAAATGTAAAAAGAGACTAAGTGACATTTTTTGGAATTTTGAGATATTAAAAGAAATTAATGCAAAATAAATCTAAAGAACTTTTTTTTATTAAAGAAAATAAACTTGAAAAATAAAGCTAAATCTTGAGAAACAAACATTTTTTTTTGGGGGGGGGGGTTTAATATAGGCTAGGAATACTTAAACTAATATTTTTTAACAAGAATAATAAAGAAAAATAATGCTTGAACTTGAAATATATTTTTTTGGGAATTAAAGTTAATAACAATACTTAAATAAAAATAACAATAACAACTTAATTATAAGATGCTTTTTATAAGCTAATAACATAAAAATAAAGCTAAATTAGAGATATTTTAACTAAAGCAAAGATTAGAGTAAAAAATTTTAGAGAGAGAATTTGTAGGAAATTTTGGTGTGTTTTAAAACTTGAAAATTAAGGGGTATTTATAGGAAAATAAAGGGGTTGATTTGTAAATAGAAAAAAGTAAATAAATTAAAATTCAAGGATTATTTTGGTAAATATCAAGATTTTAGTAATAATGAGAATCTTGATATTAAATTCTTACATTTTATATGTAACAAACTTACTTAATCTGTTTTGCAACATTTAAACTAATAAAATAAAGAAAACCGTAATATAATTAACTCTAATATTCACATAATAAAAAGGTTCTAAAATGCCATGGTATTACAAAAAAGAAAATATATTACCAAGTCATGTCACAACTCAAAAATAATACTCACATGGTATACGATAACAAAGTGCCTAAATCTATTTAGTGAATATTGTACTCACCAAGGTACTAAAACAACACCTATAAAATAAATATCAGCTCTAAAAGTTACACAAAGACATTAGGTTACAATACTAATAGGGTTGAACAAAATATTTCAGAGTTTATATATATATATATATATATATATATATATATATATATAAATAATAAAAAAAAAAAAAACCTGCTCTTATTAGAGATAGTAGTATAGTACATATAAATTTACCCAAGAACATCTAAACATACAACAAAACCTTATAAAATACGAGCATTTCAAATAATAACCCTTAAAAGTATAAAGTAAGGTAAAACATATAAAATCATAAGATTGACATGGTTAAAGTGAAAATACACCATGTTAAATCATACAATATTAAGTCATACAACATAAATTTAAGGTAGTCAAGAGTAAAAATATATTCCCAATAACCTTTTTTAAAAAATGAACTCTTATCTTACCTCACTGTACTAAAACACAAATTTATATTTAACATAGTCGTGAAAAAAATATAAAAGATACAAAACTAGATCAAAACATCAGGGAAACGAATAAAACAGAAGACCAAATTCACGTTGGCAACGCAAATTAACGTAACGGAAAATACTATTTGAATAGTGTCAAATAGTGTTTGAATAATGTCAAATAGTGTTTTAAATAGTGATATGCAATATATGACGCGTATGAAATACAGTTGTCCCAATTAGCGTTAGATAAATATTGATACAATTGATCCAAATTGAAATTTATTGGATACAATATTAACCGCGGGGGATAAAAAAAGGTAACGTTATTTCACTATTGACAATTGTTTATCAAAATTGACGAAAGAATACACAAACTAGACTGAATAAACAAATCATTAAAAAAAAAAAAAAAAAAAAAAAAAAAGATAAAGAACAAAAAAGAAAAGGAAAAATAAAATAAAAAAACGAGAAAAACCAAAAGTAAATTTCAGAATGAATTCACAGCAAAGAAAAGAAAAATCATTGAAACAAAGAAAAGCACGAACCTATTTTTTAGCTGCCAACACTATTCATCTAACAATCTCATACGAAAATTCATACACGTACAATTATACATTTTCATCCATACGTATCCCTCTTTTACTCTCATCCATACAACACCTAAATAAAAATCGACGGGTTTGATCCGAACTTGTATTTATCGGAACAAGTGTTAACTGTGGAATAAAAAGACAATGACATTTTAACAAGTGTATATAAAAGGAGGTTCCTTTAGCACTACAACTTGTAGTACCTATTTAGGTGTGAGAATGTTTGTCATTTCCCTATATTGGTTGGGCATGAATCTTTAGAGTAGTGGACTTTATAGGTAAACCGGTCATATAATAGGGTATTGCACAAATCGCAAAAATCACTAGATAAAATAAAAAATTAAAAAAAAGTGCTCTAACAATCTAAGTGAACATACTAATATACTTAATATACTCTAAAGAAGTAAATAATGCTTGTTTATAAGGAAAATGACATACTCCCCTGGAGAGACAAAAATATTGTACTTTATACTATACGATTATTATGCATATACGTATTAAAATATGGTCTAAAATACCTACTTTTTACTATAAAAAGAAATTACCCTTATCCAAAATCTCCACTCACCACTTAATTCTTATATTCTTCCATCTTCCTCCTTACCCGAAAAAACCAAACAAAAACCACCATTAAACTCGGCCACCATGTTTCAAGAAAACCAGGTGGATTAGCATGTCTTCACCTTTAAGGAAAACATGAAGATGATAAGGGTGTACTTCATGTACATTGTGGGGCGAGTGGTCCTCCTAATGGTTGTATTAATTTACTTGTTAATCCACAAGTAAAGCCCGAAAATTATTTCGGAGGAGCAAGGTAAAAATACATATAGTGTTAACTGTACTTCAATATTTTGTAATTTAGTAGTTTAGAATTACAAATTGTAACATGTATTTTGGAAATTATGAATAAAAATCATTATTATTACTTCGTTTTCTTCGTTTTAAATAATAAAACAAACGTTATTAAGTTTATAAAAATATTTAGCAAAATAATAATTATTATTTGCAAAAAACGATAACTATAATGATAAAAGATAATTAATAGTGATAATTACAAAAGTAGGATCAAAATTTGGTGTCTACAATTATTAATTAATTTTTTATTACACTATATTTCTTTAATTCTTTCATTAAACATGTATGCTTCATCTTCCACGTACATTTCATCTTCATCACCCTGCTTCAATTCAAACGTCGCCCTCAAATATCTAATTTACACTCACAAAATGAAATACTTTTACAAATTTACCCTTATATAAAAATAAAATATTTACCCCCCCAAACCCTCACTCCCTATTCTCTTTCTTAAAAATAATTCTCTCCCTAAACAACCACCACCACCACCTCCTCCTCTTTTAACCACTAACTCCTTTTATCTCCGATTTCTCGATCTACATAGCCGCGGAAATGACGAGGTAGGACAAGGGGAAGGCGGCCGCCGATGATAAGTTTTTTTTTTTTAATTTTCTGAAATCGGGTTCAACCGCCCGGTTTGTTCGAACGAACTAGGCATTTGAGCCTAGTTTGTTCGAACAAACCGGGCGGTTTCCTGGGTTCGTTTTTTTTTAAATTTTGCTTTTTAAAATTTGTTAATTCACATCTTAGTATCGAAAAGAGGGTGGTGGTGGTGATGCCCCCAAATTATCAACTCTTAACATCTTGATAAGGATGGTGGTGGTGGCGGTGCCCCCAAATTATCAACCAGTGCTAGAATTAAGAGCAATTTTTTTTTTTTTTGAAGGAATTAAGAGCAGAATTGAATATATATATATATATATATAGAAATGGGATCATGTGAGAACCCATGTCTTAGGTGAGAACCAATATAAAATGAGAACCAATCTAAGACCATTCATTTTTATTAGATGAATGGTTCAGATTTATTAGTAACTATAGTGGGAATTCACGTGGGCCAGCTTGAAAAGGTAATGATTGTTTGTAATTTTTACTTTTTATTTATTTTTGTGCATTGGAAGACGTTGTATTCCATTGGAATACATTATGGGTCAGTCATTGGAAGACGTTATCTCAGCCATTGGAATAGATTCAGCCATTGTAATACATTATCAAAGGTTAGAGCTCAATTTTTTTTTTTTTAAGCATGGATTTGTCTGTTGAATTTGGTACGTCTAATGTTCTTCATGCTTTTACCCCTGGTGGAACGAAGATATGGATTCCATGTTGTGATAGTGAAATTAGACCAACTATAGGTATGAAATTTTCAAAACTTGATGAAGGTTTGCGTTTTTATGAGTCCTACGCAGATGTTGTAGGATTTATTACTAGAAAGTCGACGGTCAAAAAAAGAAAAAATGGTATTATTTCTTTTCAAATTATTGTATGTAATAAAGCTGGGTTTAAAGAAAAACGAAATAATGTGGTGACAGAGAAAGTTGATAGTATCGGGGAAGAAGATGATAATTTTGTAGATGATATGAATGTTGAAGAAGTGGTTGTTGGTCAAGATAAAGAAGACTATGATTGTCAAGAAGCGAATACTCCTATGGTTAAAAGAAGATTGTCTACTCGAGTTGGTTGTAAGGCAAAGATGATTTTAAAGTATTGCGAAGATGGAGGTTACATTGTTTCTAATTTTGAAGAAGGGCATACTCATCATATGTATTCATCCGAGAACTCTCATTTTTCAGAAGTCCAAAAGAAAGCTGACAATGTTTCATAAGAAAATGATAATTGATAATTCAAAGGTATTTGAATATGGTTTTGTTTAAAATGATTAAATTTTAAATGTGAAGTAACAATTGTGTACATATATGAAACATTAGTACTGTAATATGAAATATATATTGTTTTGGATGGAACAATCGTATTTGAATATGGTTTTGTTTAAAATGATTAAATTTTAAATGTGAAGTAACAATTGTGTACATATATGAAACATTAGTACTGTAATATGAAATATATATTGTTTTTGATGGAACAATTGTTTGTAATGTATATACTCAAGTAGGTGTAAGTACAACTGTATGGAACAATGGTTTTGATAAATGGAACAATATTACGTATAATTGAAACATAGTTGGAGCGATTGGTTGTAAAGGTTTAAAATTATTTCGTTATTATAACAAATGTAACAATAGGGTAATGCGTAGGAACAGTAGGTCAGATATATGGAACAATAAAGTGCATTTTTGGAACAGGTGGTCAGATATATGGAACAATAAAGTGCATTTTTGTTTCATATAATATGTCATCATCGAATTTCGCACTATCCATCAAGAATAACGTGTACCGTTATTTGTTATTAAATGTGTGTCTTTTTGTTTTTTGTTCACATCTATATTTAGAATCTTTGACATCTTTTTTGCCTTTTTTTCATAAAATTAAATATGCACTGTTAGATCTGTTTCCATATATATCATGGTCCTCAAACAGTCTAGTCTTTTACATTCTGTCTCCACAGGTGAATATTGGTCATGTCAAGACATACAGAATGGTGAAGGAATATGTTGGTGGGTATGAGAATATAGGCGCTAGTAGGAATGACTTCAAAAAATTTCATAGAGATTTGAAGGCGTATATTGAAGGATCGTTTGATATGCTCTCGTTTTTGGTGATATGCTCTCGTTTGATACAACCTACCAAAGCAACAGGTATCATAGTGTTATTTTTAAAGTTTTTTGAATTTTTTTTTTTTGGGTTTTACAATTTGATGTAACATTTGTTTTAATTTTCGGAACATTGGAATAATATTACGAAACAGTAGACATAAATATGGAATCGTAATTTCAGCGTATGTTTCATGTTTTCCAGATATAATATGGTATTTGGTCCATTCACGGGAGTCGATCACCACAAGAAATGTGTCACTTTTGCTGCTGGTTTTATTGCAAAGGAAGATGTTGCTTCATTCGAATGGCTATTTAGAACATTTGTTAAGGCAATGGGTGGTAGGGAGCCCAATTGTTTAATTACGGATCAAGATCCAGCTATGAAAATTGCTGTAAATTCTGTTTTCCAACAATGTGAGCACAGGTATTTATTTTATTGTACTGCAACTAGAATGATTCATTTGTGAATACTATTGTTTTCAAAAATATGTGTCTGATGTTTCATATTAGTTTATTCATGTTTCCTGCTGTTTTTATGATGTTAAATATTATTGTTTCAAATTTATTGGTTCAGATTAGTATTTATTTTATTGTACTGCAACTAGAATGATTCATTTGTGAATACTATTGTTTCAAAATATGTGTCTGATGTTTCATATTAGTTTATTCATGTTTCCAGCTGTTGTTATGATGTTAAATATTATTGTTTCAAATTTATTAGTTCAGATTAGTATTTATTTTATTGTACTGCAACTAGAATGATTCATTTGTGAATACTATTGTTTCATATTATTGTTTCAAATTAATGATGTTAAATATTATTGTTAAAAAAAAAATCCTTGTTCCTAAATAGTGTTTTATTGTTTCAAATTTATGTTCTGATGTTCCATTAGGTTAATCAATTGTTACGAGAATTTGCCTAATTATTCCAATTATTTTTTTTATTATTTCAAATCTTCAAGATAATGTTCCGGAATTTTACTACAATGTTACAGTATTAAAAGCTAATGTTCCTAAATAGTGGTCTAATGTCCCATAATTAATGTCATTGATTCATTTGTGAATACTATTGTTTCAAAATACGTGTTTGATGTTTCATATTAGTTGATTGATGTTTCCAGCTGTTGTGATGATGTTAAATATTATTATTCTGAATTTTTTTAAAAAAAAACATTGTTCCTATATAGTGTTTTATTGTTTCAAATTTATGTTCTGACGTTCCATTAGGTTAATCAATTGTTACGAGAATTCGCCTAGTTATTCCAATTATTTATTTTATTATTTCAAATCTTCAAGATGATGTTCCGGAATTTTACTATAATGTTACAGTTTTAAAAGATAATGTTTCAAAATAGTGGTCTAATGTCCCATAATTAATGTCCTTCAGATTTTGTATGTGGCACATAATGAAAAAGCTGCCTGATAAAGTTGGAAGGAATATCATTCAGGATACTGAATTTTTGAAGGAACTCAGTAAGTGTGTTTGGAATTTAGAAATTGAGGCACCTGAATTTGAAGAGAAGTGGAACAATGTTCTTGTTGAGTTTAAATTACAAGATCATGATTGGTTGAATTTGATGTTTGAGATGAGAGCTATGTGGATTCCAGCGTATTTTAGAGATGTCTTTATGGGTGGTATTATGAGAACTACCTCAAGGTCAGAGAGTGAGAATAATTTTTTTACATCCGTTGTAAATCCTCACGTGTTTCTTGTGGAGTTTTTCATGAGGTATGAAACTACGTTGGATGCACAGAGACATTGTCAGGCAGAGAATGACAATGAATCACAGGAGAAATTCCCTCAATGTAAGACAGAATTGTTGATTGAGAGGCATGGTTCTGAGGTGTACACCGTTTTCTGTATTTTATGAATTTCAAGATGAAGTTCATAGTGCTTTTTATTGTTGTGGTGTAAATGAATTGAGGAAGGAAGATGGTATTGATGTAGAAATTGTTACTGAGGAAAATAGGAGAAGGAAATTTAAAGTTTTGTTTGAGTGCTTTAGTCATGACACTACCTGCTCTTGTAAGAAGTTTTATAGGATAGGAATCCCATGCAGACATATGATATGGATGTGGAAGGCAAAGAATTTAAAAAGCATTCCAAAGCAATATATCTTAGATCGTTGGACAATAAATGCTACTCAGAAACCAGTGTTAGATATAAGTTGTTTAGACACCGAAGATGATAGGCGGGTGGTTATAAATGAAATGTGGTCGGAGATATTTTCTTGTGTGAGTTGGGTTAAAGGTCATGAGGAGGACTTTATTAAGAATATTCGAGAGTTCAAGAATAAAATTGAAGCGACAAAAAATGTTACTTTGGAAGATACTCAGAATGTAAGATCTAGTGAACATGATATTGAGATGTTAATAGGATGTAGCATTCCTGATGAAATACTTGTTCAGCCTCCTAAAGTGTCGAAGAATAAAGGTACAGGTGTTCACGATGGCTCTGGAACTAGTGGGTCTAAAAGATTAAAGGGTGCCAAAGAAATAGCGGTTGAACAATCTAAAAAGAAAACGAAGAGGAAATGCAGTGGCTGTGGCGAGCTAGCATATCATGATATTCGGAATTGTCCTCACAAAGCATGATGATTTGTGCAGCTGTTGTTCCTTCTTATGGGAATGTTTTACTCATTTTCATGTTTGTTGTAATGGAACAATTAGTTACATTTGAGAAACATAAGTTTTAATATATGTTACATCAGTTTTGAGAAGCATTAGTTTTAAGAAACACTAGTTCTAATATATGTAACAATTGTTTCATTTATGGGAACAGAAGGAACATTCCCTGAAACATTAAGATTCGTTTTAGCATGTTTTGTAAGCATGTTTTATATAAAAAAGTTACGAAGTATATAATATTTTTCACAAAGTGTGCAAATTGATTTTATGTGGCAGCGTGTATTGATTTGACTAGTCATCTTTTTTTAAAAGTACTGGTGTGGTATTATTGCTTTGGGAACATATTTATTGTAAAGTTTAAAAGCAACCTTACACTTGTCAGTTTCATGTGGAAACGTGTTCAGTTGTGACAGTGCATGGTTTAAATTTATTTCTTACCGTTGACAATGCATGTTGTTTCATATTGTTTCATATTGTTTCATATTACGTTACCGTTGTTTCATTTTATCTATTTATAGTTTCATGTAATAATTCTAATTATGGGAAAATAATCCAGAACATGTTTAGCTAAACCTATAATCACATTGTTTCATATTACCTAGCTGTTGTTTCATTTTATATATTTAAAGTTTTATTTAATACTTCTAATGTGTCATATTAATAGTTCACAATTGACAATAATATACGCACATCTTTACATACGAAACATAAAAAGATGTTTAGCTAAATTATCCAGGACATGCATAAAAATTATGTATCTTACAACTTATGTGGAAACATTATAAACATTGTTTACTGATTAACATGACGAAGCTGCTCTAATGCCCAGGTCTTTGATTTGGCTATAACTTCATCTTGTAGTACGTTTGCAGGACTTGTCAATATTTTCCCACAATACTCAATCCTCAGCTTCTTCATTATATCAGGCAGAAATATATTAACAATTCAAAATAAATACCGGAACAATGAACCATAAATTATGTATAAATTAATATAAGAATTACACAAAAACTCACATCTTTTGGGTCGAATCCAATATCCCAACATTCATCTAGCTGCCCCATGTAAGTTTCCATGTGTTTGAGAGCGTATACACCGCAGTCATTATAATTCTCATTATTCTTCCATCTCATTTCCTTCATAGTGGTATTGAATCTAGACACTCCCCGTCCATTCCCAACTTTCTTTTCATTTAGAAATTTAGCAAATGCCTTGATCTGTGTAATATGAAACAATTAGATGTACCAAGGAACAATGGCACAACAAATATATACAATGAAACAATTGATATATAATATGAAACAGGCTAAATGAAAAATGAAATATCAGATGTATGAATATGAAATAACATATTATATGTACAATGAAACATATCAAATGTATTATTTGAAACCATATATACATATATTGAAACAAATTCAATATAATAAGAAACAACAAATATATACAATGAAACAATTGATATATAATATGAAACAGCGTAAATGAAAAATGAAACATCAGATGTATGAATATGAAATAACATATTCTATGTACAATGAAACCTATTTAATTTAATATGAATCAGCAGTAATGAAAAAATGGAACATCAAATGTATTATTTGAAACCATATATATATATTGAAACAAATTCTATATAATCAGAAACAGCAGAAATCAACAATGAAACACCAGATATACTAATTGAAACATCAAAAAATAAAAAATGGAATACCAGTGATGTTTAGTGAAACAGTGTCATATTTTTACCATGGTAGTTGGGAAATTGCCGTACTTTGCATCCATTTCAACACCTTCTTCTAGAAATCTGTTGTCTATAATTTGCAGTTGCTTGCGTGAAAAATTGAAACAGAACAGATAATAGTGTTCAAATGCTGGGACGAGAAAGAAAACCTATAATGAAACAATAAGTAAGTTATATGTAACATTAAGTATGTCTTTTTAAGCAAATATATATGCTAAGAATCAGTACTAGTTTAGTATCTAACCAAATCTACTTTGTCAAAAGAAGTTATTTTAGAATGATTCATCTCGTCCACCATCCTGCTCTTGAAAGCGTTGTATCTCTCTGCAAACTTGGTATTTGGCGTAAAGTACTTGTTACCGCACATCATATTCTGTTTTTTTCCAGGTAATTAATCATTGTTGTAGTTGTTAGTGTATCAGGAATATTATAATGTATCGATACTATAAAACTGAAGTATTTTATACGAAGCATAATATATTAAAAATGAAACATTGGCACTATATAGTGGAACATTGGCACTATATAGTGAAACATTGGCACTATATACAAAGAAACAATTGATTTATAATATGAAACAACATAAATGAAAAATGAAACATCAAATGTATGAAACATTGGCACTATATAGTCAAACATTGGCACTGTATACAATGAAATAATTGATATATAATATGAAACAGCGTAAATGAAAAATGAAACATCAGATGTATGAAACATTGGCACTATATAGTGAAACATTGGCAATGTATACAATGAAACATATTGTATGTACAATGAAATATATTTATTTAATATGAAACAAAAGTAATGAAAAATGGAACAATATGTTAATGAAACAAATTATATGATAAATGAAACATTAGAACTTAAAAGTGAAACTGTAAAATAATTTTAGTTTAAATCTATATAATGTTTGAAACCCTAAGTATAATTCGCGCGACATTAACAATAAAATTGGAAACATTACTTTGTCAATTGAGCTTCCGTCGTTGGTGGTTGTACGTTTTCCGTCGTTGGTGGTTGTACGTTTTCCGTCGCTTGTTCGGCTGCAGCGGGAACGCCGGCCTCCTCCGTAGGGTTTTCCCCCTCCACTCCATCCAACTCTCTTCGCAACCTTTCTCTGTTAAAAACCAAACATTTTGAAAATTTAAAACCCTAACTGTTTACATTATCTTATTTTCATCATAATTTACTGAATTATAAAAAACTTACTGAAATTTCTTGAAACTCTCCTTGCTTCGGCAGTCCTTTTTCTGCGTTTGTTCTTTCATTTTGCTAACAAAAAATCGAGAATGGGTATTTTTGGGTAGTTTTTGGGGTTTTTATAGAACAATGTAGTAGTTACTTCCGTTTTTTTCCCAATGGAAGTTATGGGCGCGAACACAATTGAAGTAAGATAATTGGTTTTTGAAATGATGTAAATTTGTAAGAATAATCGGTGTGTAAGGGAAGCAAACCAACCGTCAGTTTTGATTAGACATTAAAATTGCAGTTTTAAATTTTCGAGGGAAAAGTGATCATTGTCTCAATAAATGCACAATGGGTATACATGTGCATATGTCTAATCTCAGCCGTTAGTTTCATAATTTTTAATGGCATAAGATTGGTTCTCATTTTAACTTGGATTTCATATAAGACTTGGTTCTCACATGATCCCTCCCTTATATATATATATATATATATATATATATATAACTAACTGTCCAAACTACTATTAACTAAGGTTGAATGGTATGGGCACCATTCAGTTTGGAAAATAAAAAATAAAGCTTTGAAATCTCCTTCAAACTTTATTGATAATAGTAGAAATAAAAAAATAGAAATTGTTTAATCTTCTACTAGTTCCAAGATAAGCAATGATAATACTGATATCTCCTTTTCAAAAGGCAAAAATCTTTTACCTTCTTCATCTAGCCAAAACATTTATGTATTTCTATTGGGCAAGAAGATGGTATGGCTATTGATTTTCCCCAAAATGCTCCAACTGATACTTTCTCTAATTCTCTATCTCTGTCTTCGCCTCTTTATATTACCCATCCTCTCTCTCCTAAAGCTATTATTCACTCTATTTCCCATTCTCAAACTCAAAATCATGCAAAACCAAAAAATCAATCCCACGGTGATGTCCCTTGCTCCTCAAGAGACAATGAAAACATCGAGCTCTCAACCTCTCATTCAACCATCTTCAGCCCAAATCACCTCTTCACTTTTCCACCCCATGACCCCTCCATTGTCGAACCAAGCTCGGCTATTGGACTTGTTCCCGTACAAGGGAAAAGCTCCAATGAAGGACCGCCCGACTTGTGCTCCAAAGAGGCTACCATCTCTTCCCTCATCTCCAACGGAAATGGAGGGAGCCTTGAAACTATTGGATTCCCTTCGAAGAATGGAAGAGCAAAGGTCACTCCAAAAGAAAACCATCTTGGAATCTCTTCCTGTTGGAACAACAAGTGTGTAGTGTGTGAATTTTGTGAAAAAACTCAAAGTCCCACATTGGTGGGAAATGAGAGTTTTACTCTCTTTATAATATAGAGAGTGGGCTAAAGGGGTGTGGCCCTTGGGCTACCCACATTTTGTGGAGAGGGAGGACCTATATGGTAAACCATATATCACACACACGCGCGCCGAGCCGAACCGAGCCGAGCCGGGCTGGGCTGGGTCGGGTTTGGGTTTGGGTTATTAAACAAACTTAATTTTTGTTACCGGTTTGATTAATATTCAGTTACAAAACGTTTTACTGTTTTGGTTTAAATTTTTTCGTTACATTGCTTGATTCTCGTTGCTGTTTTACTGTTAAACGTTGCACCGTTACACTGATTTAATGCCTTGATTCTTGCTTAACGAATACACTAATTGCAGTAAACGTTGCTAATCTTTCTCCCGTTTTCATGCTTAAGCTGTTACATATCTTTACCTATAAAAGGACGGTTCCAGCTTTGTTTTTAAATACACGGAAAAAAAATACAGAAAACCACTTTGCAAAATATATTTTCTCTTCCTCTCAAAACAGTCGAGCAGTTTCTTTCTGATTTTCTGGTGTTCCGTTGTCCGGTGGTTCGGTGCAAAACCGCCGGTATTTTATACTTGTGAAAGACTGTTTTATCCTGGGGGCATCCGGTTTGGTACGAGCTGCTTGCACAAGTTTGAGGCAGTGCCGCGAATGTTCTAAAGAGAGCGACATAGTCCGCGACTCAGTCTTATTCTCGGTAACATTGTTCTT